CATGGCTCTTGATATGATTTTAGCATTTGTTCCTGACACACCCACAACATGATGAGAAACTTCCTGTTAGCTGGGAGGGAAGTAAACTTCAATTATGTTATTGCCCTCTTCTATTTTTTTCATTCATTTTCATTCAGCATTCTGTTATGGGTATATTAATCATGTAGAGACTCACCAACAATTTAAGTTTAAATGGGTTTTCTAAAAAAATAAATATGACTTGTCTAGTTTTCATTAAATTATGTTTATATACATATATTTGCATATAATATCCCTCTAAATAGGATTCAGCAATGGTATAATTTGAGAATAAATAAAGGAAATATACATAATAAAATGATTTTTCATTGTCTTTAAATGGGGTAAACAATTGTGTCAAAATGTCAGGATTTGAGAACTGGAGATGAAGAGATATCTCATAGATGAAGATACTTGCTGGATAATCATAATATCTCAACTTCAGATCCACAACAGGTTGCTTTAGAACCTGTAACCTAAGTACAGGGGGAGTAAGCAGCAGAGAAAGCAATTTCATAGAATCTCCCTAGCCAGCAGCCTGATAGGAGACAGGGAGAACCAGGGTCACCAAGAGACGCTGCTTCCAGAGAGGCAATTGAAAGTAATAAAGGAGTGCCCCCAGCATCCTTCTATGGAGCCTCTGTGTAGACACATACATACAGATATGCCGTCTTCACTCAATTTTAGTGGTGCTGAGGACCAAACCCAGACTTTTGTGTTTGGCATAAAAGTACTTTGTCAACTGAGCTACATCCCCAAATTAATAGTTTTTAATTAAATTCAATGACAAAATACTGGAAATCTTACCTTAGTTCTGAATTATCCTTACAGATCATGTTCTGTTTTGAGAAAGCACATGCCAAACTAGAGAGAACCATTTCAGTATACTGACAAGCAACAGTAACAAGATCTTGAGTAAACATCTCACTAATTATTACCCCACTAGCTCTCTGACATGAAAGTTGCTATGTCATCCCTAATATTACAAACTAAATCGACCAAGATTCCTTTACTATGACTACACAAATTAAGTTGAACACTCATTACACTTAGAGTCATAAAATGAAAACTAATATTCATTTATTACACAATATCCACATATCCCTCTTATACATAAACGCCTGTACAGACACAGAGAAAAAAGAGAGAGAGAGAGACAGAGAGAGAGAGAGAGAGACAGAGAGACAGAGAGAGACAAAGAGACAGAGAGAGACAGAGAGACAGAGAGGTTAGTGTTTTAATGTCTTCTGAGAAATTTGTTTTTCTTAGTTTTATATTAGTGTGTTGAGAATTTCATGCAATGTTTGTTGGTCTTATTAACTCTCTATACACACTCTTCTCCAATTACTATCCCCTTCCTAATGTACTCAACAATGTATCATTTGAAACAAAAACACAAGCAAAACCCATCAAGTGTACTTGATGTTGCTCATATACTTTTTTGAATATATGGCCTTCCATTGGAGCATGGTCTACCACTCTTATAGAAATCTGAATACACCTCTCTTAGCAACTATTAACTTTCAATAGCTCCTAATGTAACTAAGTGCCCAATCCAACCTGAATCTCCATGCAGGAATTTTATCTTTCTTGGAGTTGTTCAGCTTTTCTGTTTGCTAACTAAGCTGCCATGAATTAATATGTGCTACTTCCTTGCTTTGTCCTGAAAACACTATTTCCTTTTAGTCATCCGCCATCTTTAGCACTTAAAATAGTTCTGCCACTCTTCCCCAATGTATTGTCTTTATGTTTTATTCAAGCCTTGTTACATTAATTAAAAATATTGTTAGTGGCTTGGAGTTCCTTTAAATTGGTATTATGCTAGAGTGTGGGTTCCACAATAGCAAGGATTTTCCAGTGATTTTACTCACTGCTGCAAGCCAAGAATGTAGGAATGTGCTTGACATATATAGATGTTTAAAACATGCTTGTAAATTCATGCTGAACAATTGATTCTGGCTGAAAATGGGTCTTATGAAATGAAACCATCAAATTTGGCTGTTTTAAAGTCTATATTTCTTTTAATAGGTTATATTCTCTCAGTAAGGGTTTATACTTTCAGATTTTTTTCCTCAGGTCAAATTTCTTTTATCAAACTGATCAACAGATTGTAAGGGCTGAGGCATTGCTCGGTGTGTGAATGCCTACTGATGAATGGGGAATGTCATGGATTAAGACATGGAGAAAATAAAAATAACAACCAAAGATATCCTAGCATACATGGCACCTTTTATCACTATGGCAACCAGACCATAGGGTGAGGCTTTCAGGTCAATATCACCTTGATTTCTCTGTTGTCCTATGACTCAAGCCTGAGGTATCTTTAGCAATAGGGTCTTATCAAGTTCTGGAAGGTCACCAAGAGCAATGGCAAAAACCTGTAGAGTCTGAGGGTCCATAAGACCTCACTGGCTAAAATTAATTCATTGCACTGGCCTTCTTATTTGTTAGTTTGTACTGCTTAGTGGAGATACTATTGTCCTATACTCTTATGAATACAATGTTGGTATTATTGATAACACTGGAATTTGAAATTGTATGTAAACAGTGCAAATTGAGTTTATATAATATTTACATGTCAAATTAGATCAAAAGTCATCTAGTAAAATGTTTCACAACAGTAAAACAGAAAATCTATCAAAACTCAAGTATTTGAACACAGTTGTAAAGCAAAATAGAAGACAATATATTACTTTTTGAAGTTCTCATTGATTTTCTCAGAAGAGGTAATTATTCAGTGTGTGTGTGTGTGTGTGTGTGTGTGTGTGTGTGGTAGGTGTTTATGTTGGTATGTGTGTGCATGTCAGAATGACAGGAAATAACATGTTTCTTTTGGTTACATTATAGGAAAGTGAAAGATTCCCCTAGTGATGACGACAAATGCCCCTTGAAAATTTTCATAGACTGCTTTTGTGACTAAATATGTTATAACATAATTTTCTCTATCATTTTAGTAAAACCAAAAGACAGATAGAACTTTGTGAAATTCTCATTGTGAACAGCTATGCTTCTGTTTGAAACTCCAGATTGGACCATGATCTACATAGATAACTTTAGACTTTTTAAGGCAAGAAAAATTCCTTCGTTTATTTCAAAATATGTCATTATAACTGATATAAAAGCAGTTCAAGCCCTGAAGCATGAAATTTGATTGCTAACTCATCTACTTTCATTGCTCCCTACACAGCATCATGATAATGTGTCTTCAAATTTTAGTGAGAGATTTATTTCCACTACAGATTAAAAACCAGCCATTCCCTCCAGAAACACATTTGCCACTATCCTTTTAGATTAGCAAGAATTTTGTTAATAGCGTTTAATGTGGCTGCGTCTGGATTCAAGTTTGTTTATGCATTCGGAAATCAGGAACACCGCAATTAGACATTTTGGCATTCGTAAAAACCCCACAGAATCTGAAGCTGCTTGCAGAAATGTGTGATAACCAAAAGACACTTATGAATATTATATTATTCAACACAAATGGACCCATTGTATTTCATTCACACCAGTCAGCCTACTTCAGGCCCCACCCCAGAAACTTCAGCCGGAATACACGAGTCTCAGTGCATATGCTTTAAAGCAGGACCTGCAAGCATTGCTTCTGCACCAGCAAAAGACATTTTTGAGCATAAGAATAAAAGTGATTGTTAATGGTGCACACACAAAGAATCCGTATTCTATCTGTATTCATAAAAGAAGAGATTTATATAGATGTAGAAAAATATTGAAGACTAGACATCTTAGCTCCTGGACAGAAAGAACATTAATCTTTTTTTTAAAAAATCACATAATTTAACAAGAAATATTTTATAGGCAATGCCATATTAAATTCAGAAGAAATTAAGAATTTAAAAAGTATAATACATTAAAATTGATGTTATTATGGTACTAGGATTCAAATCTGAATGAAAAATTGTTATAATTCTTCACTCTAGAGATGAATAATCAAAAAATACTATGGGCTGAAAACATTTATAGCTTCAAAGTATAAAATGTTAAGGCACAATATTTTCACTTAGAAAATGAAAATATTATTGAGCAAGTTAAATTAAATATGAATAATTGCAAAGTCAGAGCATGGATATGAATTGGAAAGTTTAGTATTATCAATGCATCACTTCTCAAATTCATTGATTAATTCAGTGATTATTAAAAGATGAGGGTATGTTTTGTGTGTCTAAATTGACTTGTTAATTCTAACTGTATTTGGAAAGTAGCCCACAAGTTAAAGTGAGCTTGGAAAAGTGAAGTTGAAAGTACTATACTTCCTAATTTCAGAATTACTGTCATGCATTTGTAATACATAGTATTATCTAAGATAAATGGCTAAATTAATGTGACAAAATTATCCTGACATGTGTATATTAATTGATCATTTTGTGTGAGCTTTGGAAATTTTGACTCAGCTCAGCAGGCTTGCATTACAATTATTTTATGGACTGAGATAGCTCCCTAGTGCCAAATTCTCTTACTTTGAATATTCCTCTTATTTATTTATTTATTTATTTATTTATTTATTTTGAGAAAGTACCTTGATATGTAGCCCAGGTGATCTAGAGTTCACTATGTGAATTACTGATAAGTCATAATGACTAGAAATTGCCATTATATTTTTTTCCAGAGACTTGCAAGGTAGCATATTAGAAAACTTTGTCATAATTTTTTGTATTAGGAAGACAATGAGAAAAAGAAGATAAATATAGGTTAAGCAAAAAAATAAGTAAATTTGAGCTTTGAAAGTTGTTAGAACCATGTAGCATATGACAGCAGATTCTGAATATTCCATAAAAAGTACATTCTCTGTGTGTACACTATATAGAGTTTTATGATTTTCTTTCACTGTTACTTTTAATAGGAGTTTTACTTTCTTGTGACTGTGCTTTCAGTACTTTGGGTAGTTATCTTAGTTTTCATTGTCAACTGCTGTGATAAAAAGTAATTTATAAAAGAATGTGTTTAATTTGATGCTCATGTTCCCATAGGGTTAGCAGCCATGACCATCATGGTGGAGAATGTGGCAGCAGGCAATCAGGCATCACACTGGAATAGTAGGTAAGACCTTACATCTTTTAAAGTAAAAACAAGGCAGATAAAGGTAACTGGAAATTAAATGGGTTTTTGAAACCTCAATGTCCAACCCTAGTGATACACATTTTTGTAGGATGGTCATTTCTTCTATCCTTCCTGAACCGTTCCAACAACTGGATATCAAGCATTCAAATATATGAGCTTACGGGTGTAATTTTTATTTAAACCATCGCATGACATATCTTTTTTTCCATACACTTATAGCCATATCGTAATGCAAAATGCACTTAATCGAACTTCAAAAATCGCCATAGTTTTTCACAATCTCAACATAGTTCCGAGGTCCCAAATTGCTTCTGAGATTCAGAGAAATGTTAACTATAAGTCTGTGTAAAATCAAACCCAAAAAACTGTATTATATTCTTCCAACATAGAATGTTCCAAAATATACATTACCATTTCAAAAGGAAGGAAAGGGGACATATAAGGAAATATTGGACCAAAGTAAGACTGAAATCCAACAGGATAAACTCCAAATATACTAGTTCTATACTCAGTGTTAAAGAGCTTAGATGGCTCTTCCATCCAAGTTTGCTGACTGCAACACAATTCTCTCTATGGGCTGGTTCCACTCTTCCCCATATGCAGATCTCATTGGCACATATTTCATGACTCTGACATCTCCAATGTAGTAATAAGGGTAGTAGGGCTGCATCCCCAGCACCCCGGCTGCCTGGCTAGCTTATGCCCGAAATAACAGCACACAAACTGTATTCATTTAATCACTGCTTGGCCCATTTCTATCTAGCCCCTTCTAGGCTAATTCTCACATATTAATTTAGCCCATTTCTGATCATCTGTGTAGTGCCCCTAGGTGTGCTTACCGGGAAGATTCTAGCCTATGTCCATCCTGGGTCGGAGCTTCATCGCATGCGTCTGCCTAGGAGCTGGGAGCATAGCGTCTCTCTGAGGTGTCTGCTCCTGAGAGGAGAGCTGTGGAGTCTGAGGTCACTTCCTCTTCCTCCCAGCGTTCTGTTCTGTTTACTCCTCCCACCTATCTTCTAACCAATGAGGGCCAAGCAGTTTCTTTTTATTTAACCAATGACCTTCCTCCATCACTCCAATGTCCTAGGATAGTCAACAATCCAGACATCATTTTGCATTTTCATACAATGCCTACTTTGGGCCTCAATGCAGGGACCCTACTGCAGCATGTTTAGTTTCGGCAGCTTCAGCTAGATGAAGAGGAACTATCCACATTGCTTTACTCCTGTATCTTTCCAGACTTTTAAGCCAGAGCTATGTGAATGTAGCTGCCAAGTTGGCTGTCTGGTTGGGATAGAGCTTGACCTCATTGTTGAATTACATTTGTTTTTCTGTTGCTTCTTAGCAGGAGGAAATCCCTCAGGCCTTTTCCTTTCAAAAGCTGCAGGGTTATCAGGGTAGGGTGTTACCCAGCGAGCATCACTCTCTATTCCATTTTGTATCAGGCCTCTTTCTTATAACTTTGAACACAAACTTTTGCTCCAACATTAAATATCCTGGTGCTCAAATTGTGCAATATATATATATATATATATATATATATATATATATATATATTTGATTTGTTTGCTTTCTTTAGTTTTAGGGCCCATAAGAGTTGTTAGTAATAACCTATGAACAGAATCAATATTAGGCTGCTTTAAAATCTCTCTCAGTGACATTAGTCCAAAACTTTAGAATTTTACCTTAGACATATTCTTAGGTTAAGGGCAAATGCAGCCACATTCTCTGCCAATATATAATAAGAATTGTCTCTAGTCTAACTGCTAATATTGTTTCCCTATGAAAAATTCTTGAGATGGGCCTCTGTAGTCAATATCATGAATATCAGTACTACTGTATTCCAAGTTTCAACTGGGATGTCACATTAAACCTTGCTTAAAGCATTCAACCACTTTTGTTGTCACAACTTTCAAAGACTTCTATATTTTTCAAAATATAGGATTAACCTGGTATAACAATAGTCAACTTTCTGATAACAACTATTAAATTATTTATTTTTCTATTGCTGTGATAAGACACCATGACCAAGACATCTTATAAAAAAGAATTTATTGAGGTTTGCCATTTCAGAGAGCAAGTCTATAGTTATCATGCACCAGGAAGGCAGCCTCTGGTCTGGCATGGGCTTTTGAAACATCAGAATCCATCCTTAGTGAGATACCTCCTCCAATAAGGCCATATCTCCTAGTCCTTCCAAAATATTTCAATCAACATAGGACCAACCATTAAAAATTATGTACCCATGGAGGTCATTCACATTCAAACCAACACAGGCTGTGATATTAAAGTATACAGGACCCTCAGTATGCTCACTACAAAAATGTATTTTTCTCCTTTTCTTAGGTGAGCTCACAGTATTCTCAGAGACTTACTGTGTTAACAATATAAGTACAACCTTATAAGAGGGAGAAAGAAGAATGTAAATGACCAAGTAGGAGAAATATGAATACTTAAAATCCATTCTGCAATTAAAAAATGCTGACTCTGTTATATTCCTTAACAATATTATTCTATAAATATGGTCTAAGAGAAGAGAAGAATACTTTACAGTGAGATTTTCACAGAGGGAAAGATAGAGTACATAATCTTCAATCTAACCCTATACAGCTCATCTGAACACATATTTAAACCCACATAGGAAAACATGGGAAGATCCTTAAAAGAAAGGAGACCCACCAGTATTTCTTCGTGTAAGAATCATTATGCTAATGGACTCCCTGAGCCTTTGCTTTTTGCTTATGTGTATTGTAATAGTAGTGGAGAAACCAGAGGTGAGAAATATAAATATTTGATAACTGGAAAAGCTTTATAAATCTTACTACAATAGGAATATCGAAAACCTACCTTCATGAATACTGCTATTTTAAGAAAATAATTTTTCCAAACAAAGATTGTAAAACATCCTCTGTAAATACTATTGTAACATCCTCCTTAGTAGGAAAATGTCAAGTGGGGAGTTTCCAATTCTACTCTTACAGGTGATGAAGTGATTCACCCCTTTTCCAGAATGGTACCAGAGAAGGTAAAAAAAAAATCTTAGTTCAAGCATTCATGGTTGATTTGTGTAACATAATATATCTCTATTCTGTGTTTGGTCCACTAAGTATGGAGTTTAAACTCCTAAACCCATCTAAAAGTTGTGAGATACTTCTTGCTAATCTTCCAGTTTGTTTTCTGAGTGGGTGTCATCATCATCATTTGTTTAACAGTGAGTCTACCCTCCACTGTTATAAAGTCAACGTTGGTCACATGGAGACAGTCAGTATGTCATCTTTTGCTCAAATGACTTAGGCGTTGCTAGTGGAGTCCTCATGGAAACTAATGGAAACTATGGGATTGATCCTCAATAGTGAGGCTCTCCTTTCATAGAACCTAGAAACCAGAGGTGTTAGAGTCAGCTCCTGAATCCCCGTGGTTCTAGGAATCTAGTCTTGCCACCAATCATCAACAGGACAATTAAACAGATAACATCTTGGAAAACAAAGGAAATTTTTTTCAATCTAACCACATTTGGAAGAAGAAAGGAAGTCTTTGTGTAGAGGTCTTGATATGAGGCTTAGGTTTGAATAGAAAGCATGAGTTATGCAAGCCCATTCACATATCTGATCAAGACATGTTACATCATTTATTTCTCTTCCACGGTGTTCTAAGGAGTGGTGTGGTAGGTCCATCTGTCTATGTGTTGGTTTTACTGGTTAATGAATGAAGAACTGGCTTGGCCTATAACATGGGAGGAGAAAGCAGAGTTAGAGAGACACCATTGACCACCAGAGTCAGACATGCTGAAACTTAGCTGGTAAGCCACTGCCATGTGGCATTACACAGATTAATGGAGATGGGTTAAATTAAAATGTAAAAGATAGCTGATAAAACATTAGAGCTAATAGGCTAAGCAGTGTTTTAAATAATAAGTTTCTGTGTGATTTTTTTTGGGGGGGTCGAAGATAGCCTGTTGGCTGTGAACCAACAAGCAGCCCCCTCCTACAACAAATGAGGTTTGGTAATTCTAGTAAACTGATTTCCAGGAGACAAACTATTTCTCTGACTAGTGTCAGAGCTATAACTTTGCCCTGTTTTGTTTATTTTAGCATCTTTTAAGCTCTATTATTCAATATTCTAATAATCAAAGGGAACGATCTATAGTATCTTTCTTCAAGAAAGAACATTTACAAGCATAAACCAAATAGCAAACCTGCCTCATGAAATAATAAGACACCACCCTTCTCAAGGGGTGACTGTTGTACCACCAAGCAAAGATTTAAAGTTTCGCAGTAATTGACCTCAATCTTTATTTTTTCCTGAGCACTAGTTATATTGAATATCAATAATATCTAAAATAATTGAGAAAAGATAGCCAACAGAAAATAATCCTGAGACAAATTCATTATAGCATTGGCTAAGACTGGTTCAGTAATAAACATCATAAATTATTATTTTTTGCATAGTTTACATAGGAGAAATGCCAACAAAATAAAAAGGACCTAAAAAATACATGAAAACTATAACATTGAAAAAATATAATAAGTTGAAACTAGAATTTTAGAAAATCAGGGAAATGAGCTTCTTGTCAGAACTAAAAACACACAGCTCAGATTAACTGCACAACATTACCTACCAGAAAAGATCAACAGAGAGATGCAACTTTCATGTCATCCCTGAACTTTATGTTAAAACAGTAAGACAGAAATCATGCAACCTAATGAGATTGTGATTTAGATTAATTGCTTTCCTACTGCAGTGTTTAAAATGCCCTGACATGAAATCAGGTTAAATCAGAAAAGATTCCTTTGCCTCATAATTCAGGAATAAAGTTAATCATGTAAGGGAATTCATGGTGATAAAATGTAAGACAGCTGGTCTACAATGTGACATCCACATTCAGGAGGCAGGGAATGATGAATAGTGATGCCTTGCTCCTTTTCTTCCTTCATTTAGTTTGTGATTCTAGCCTTTGGAATGCTGTTGCCTACTGTGAA